CAGAATAGAAACAGAAGGAACACTGCCCAATTCATTTTATGGGGTCATAGTTACCCTGATATCCAAACCACATAAAGACTTAACAAAGAGAATTAAAGACCAATTTTTCTTATGAACATAGATGCAAAAAATCTCAATAAAGTACTAGAAAACTGAATCAAAGAACACATAAGAAAGATCATCCACTGTGATCAAGGTTTCATCTAGAAATACAGGGATGGTTTAACATAAATCAATAAATGCAATCCACCATATAAACAAACTGAAAGACAAAACCACATTAGATCATCACATTAGATGAAGTAAAGGCCTTGACGAAAAGCCAACATCCTTCATGGTAAGAACTGGAAAGATTAGGTAATACAAGGAACATACGTCAACATAATAAAGGCAATTTACAACATCAACTTCAATGGAGAGAAACTCAGAGTAATCACATTAAAATCAGAAGTACTATTCAATATAGTACTTGAAGTCTAAGCTAGAGAAATAAGACAACAGAAAGAGATCAAGGGAATACAGATTGGAAAGGAAGAACTCAAAGTATCTTTATTTGCAGATGATATGAGAGTATAATAAATGACTCTAAAAATTCCACTAGGAAACTCCTGCAGCTGAAAAAGATTTTATGCAAAGCAGCTGAACACAAAACTAACTAAATCAGTAGTCTTCCTACATACAAATGAAAAACAGACTGAGAAAGAACACAATAGCCTCAATTAATATAAAATAGCTTGGTGTAACTCTAACCAAGAAAGTGAAAGACTTGTAGTATTAAGAAGTTTGAGATAAAAAGAAGTTGAAGATAGTATCAAAAGATAAAAATATTTACCATGTTAATGGATCAATAGGATTAACATTGTATAAATGGCCATCCTACTAAAAGCAATCTGTAGATTCAACACAGACCCCATGAAAAATTCTACCACAATTCTTCACAGATCTTAAAATGTCAATTTTCCGTCTCATACTCACATACCCCCACACACACACACACTTACAAAACAACAACAAAATACACCAAGGCAGCTAAAACAATCATGAATAATGTAAGAATTGCCGGTGGTATCACCATCCTTGGCCTCAAATTTTACTGCATAGCATGGTATTGGCACAAAACAGACACTGATCAACAGAAGATCCAAACATAAGTCCACACACCCATGGACACCTAATTTTTGATAAAGAAGCCAGAAATACACACTGTTAAAAAAAGACAGCATCTTCCACAAGTGATGTCTTTCAAACTGGATGGCTGCATGTAGAAGAACCCAAAAGGAGCCATAATACCCCACACAAGACTCAACTCCAAGTGGATCAAAGACCTCAACATAAAACCAGATACACCAAACCTGACAGAAGAGAAAGTGGGGAGTAGCCTTGAACTCATTGGCACTGGAAAAGACTTTGTGAATGGAACACTGTTAGCACAGACACTAAGATCAACAGTAAATGGGCCCTCTTTTATTTCATTCCTTTCATTTAACCTAATGTCTGTCAGGTTTATCCATGTTGTTGTCAACAATAACACTGCCTTATTTTTTTCAAGTCAGAATAACAATATCCCATTATGTTAAATAAAATATATGAGAAATACTCAAATTTTTCTCACTTTCCAAATTTTCTCTTTTCACATTGAAGTTTCATTAGTGTACATTTGCATATTACTGTATCAACTGCCACAATGCTTAAGTTAAAATGTGGGATTAATTACTATTGTGATCCATCCTGAGAACATTATTTAGCCTCCATCTCATACTGTAACCTGTAGGTAGGAATAGGACCTTGGTAAGGCTGGAGGCTGGGGATATAGCTTGTTGCTCGAGAACTTTCCTAGCATGCATTACACCCTTGGGGCAGCCCCTCAGGCACATGTGCACACATATGCATGTACTTGTACATGGGTGTGCATGCACACGTGCGCATGCACACGTGCGCGCGCGCGCGCGCGCACACACACACACACACACACACACACACACACACACACACGAGGCTCCCACAATATAATGTATATGAAGTGTTTAGAATCATGCCTGGAATGCAGTAGGAGCTATGGAACCATCTAGTTTGATATTATTATTTGGGAATGTTAAGGTAAAAGACATTCTATAAACTTGTAACAGAGATTATACAGAGTGCTATATAAGCTCTAAAAAGGAATACTAAGGTTTTCATCATAATTGTATTTAACATTGATAGACGATAAATCAGAGAAAACTTTGAATTCAACATAAAATGATTAAAGGAGTACCTTAATACTAAGTTTGGATGTAACTGACCTTCACAATCTCATAGAGCATGACACTATTAGGAGGTGTGGCTTTTTTGGAGTGGGTATGGCCTTGTTGGAGGAAGTGTATCACTGTTGGTGTGGGCTTCGAGGTTTCCTATCCTCAGGATACTACCCACTGTCTCAATCAACTTGTTGCCTGCAAGATGCAGGATTCTCAGCTACTACCCCAGCACCATGTCTGCCTACATGCTGCCATGCTCCCCACCATGATGATAATGGACTGAACCTCTGAAACTCTAAATGAGTCCCCTCAATTAAATGTTTTCCTTGTAAGAGTTGTTGTGGTCATGGTGCCTCTTTACAGCAACGAAAACCCTAAGACACTAAGTGACAACTTTTATTGAACCCCCTTCTTAAACTTACCAGGCCTTTAAAAGAGGAAGTTGATGAGAGTGAAGCTCCTATTCTGGCTGAGGCAGGAGACTAACTGGCATCAGAGGGACCTGGATTAGTGGTATGGTGTTGTAAAGCAGTATCCTTAAAGCATTTCTGGGGACATGGAAAGGATCATGAGACGACAAAACATCATTTCCCTGGGAAAGTTGACACTTAGAAGATTCTCCAAGACCATTCCCCCATTTTTAAAAGAAGGGGTAAACAGTTGCTGGTGGAGGGAACTCTTTCTAGCCAAGCTGAAGAGTGTATTCTTAGACTGTGCAGAGCTCTAGGGCTGCTGCTCCCAGGGGCTATCACCTGTGCTGTGGGTGGGCCTTGTGGTGGTACAGCTGCTTTTTTGAGCCATCCTACTCCTATCGCCCACATTTCTATTAGTAACCACAATGAAAAAATAAAGAAATAAACAAGTAATGAGACTTCATGAAACTGAAAAGCATCTGCATGGCCAAGGACATCAGCATTCAGACTAAGTGGCAGGTTACAGAAAGACCACTGGACTTGGGTGGCTTCTCATTCTTTCCCAGCTGTCTCTGATGGCCTGTTCTTAGGCCACATCTATTTCAGTAAGGTATAGGGTTAATTTTCACAGATGCCAGAGACACCCTTCCTGCAAGAAAGAAAAATGAAAATCCAAGGCGGTAGGGCTTGTTTGTTTGTAAATAATCAGAAAAAAAAAAAGTTTTTGTACCTGCATTTGCTGTTGAAAACACTATTTCTGACACCTCAACTGGAATACTCTGGGTCCTTCATCCCTTGAATAAAGACTTTGTGCTTTTGCTTGTGTGAATCAACATCTGTGTCTGATCCCTCTCAGCTCTGGGGACCAGAGTACATTGTTTAATATCTTGTTATTCTCATCATAACTGCCAATAGCCCCCTCAGTATACAAATTTAAGCAAAGACCATGGAGTTGTTGGTTTTTATGTTTGTTACACATTTTATTTATGTATGTGAGCACGTGTATACCATGGTACATGGGTGAACTTCAGGGAACAATTCTTGGAAGTCTGTTCTTTCTTCCTATGTGGGTCTTACAGTTCAAACTCAGATCAGGATTGGTGGCAAGCAACTTTACACCCTGAGCCATATCTCTGCCCTACTTACACTTCACACCGGTGTGTTTATTAATCTGATTGTTCCACGAGAGATAAAGTGAGATACTAGTGGCCAGAGCACTCATAATGACAGCCTCATTTTGTAGCCCGGTCTGACCTTAAACTCAAGGTTAATCCTCCTTCCTCAACCTCCCAAGTGCTGGGATTACAAGTGTGAGCCACCATTCCAAGCTTGAATAGCAGGAGTATTTTCATGGACTAAATAAAATGTGATATTTTGTTTATGATCTAACAAATAAAGCTTGCCTGAAGATCAGAATGCAAAGCTAGTCACACAAGTCAGCCATAGAGGCAGAGGCAGTCAGGCAGTGGTGGCCACACCTTCAATCCCAGCACTAGGGAGACAGAGGCAGATGGATCATTGTTAGTTCAGGGCCACCCTGAGATACGTGAAATTGATCCAGTCTAAAAGAGAAACACTCACACAAATGTGATCCCAGCACTTGGGATCCCACGCCTTTAATCCCAGCACTAGGGAGGTGGAGACAGGAGTGACATGGCCTGGTGGAGAGAGGAATGTAAGGCAGGAGGTGACAGGAGCTCAGTGCAGTCTGAGGGGCAGAACAGTCTGAAGATGCGGTCTGACCATTGGGAGAGGTGAGAACGCTATACTGCTGGCTGCTTTGCTTCTCTGATTTTCAGCTTCAACCTCAGGATCAGTCTCTGGGACTTTATTATTAATACCAATTAGAATTCATGCTACAATAAAGGTCTCCCCGTCTTCTCCATTCTCTAGTAACTGTTGCTATATACTATATTGTAATTTGTTATTTCCATATTTTCCTCCTCCCCAAAAACTTCTTTGTGACCACAAGAGCCAGAATCATATGATATTAGCTTTCCAGGTTTTAAACCAGTCAGTTCATGAGGAAAGGTAGTGATTTGGTAAGCATCCCTTTGGCAAATGGGCAGCAGAGCAGGGTTTTCAATGTCAGAGCTGGGACTCATAGAGGTGAGGCAAGAGGAAGAGAGGCCAGTAGACAGCTGACTTCACTTTCAGGACTGGGCCTTTGATGATGTGGTCCACCTCACAGTCAAGGGGGGGGGCCCAAGGGGATCCTAGACTGACTTTTGACAAGGTAGGAACAATTGGGGAGAACATTTTTTCTCTAACATCTTGGCACACATTTTTAATCACACATAATCCAAGCTTGAAGCTCAATACACATCATGACACTACAACTGGAACACAATGGATTCTTCCTCCCTTGAAAGAAGGAATTTATTTCTGGTTGGTTTTTCTTTCCCCTTAAGGAAATCAGAATTTCTATCCTTTTTGGACAATCATAAGACAAACCCAAATTCAGGAGTCTACATTGCCAGGACATTTAGTAGAGAAACATTATTTGTGTTACTCAACAACAAAATAAAATAAAACAAAAACCTCTAAAAGTTCATCGTGTTCACTTTTTCCCTCTGGCTTTTTTTTTTTTTTTTTTTTTTTTTTGCCTATTAATATGGAGACATTAGGCTCCTACAATGCCCATGGAGATGTCTACATTTTCAACAGTCCACCCACCGTGGATCCAGCAGATGCCAAGTTCCGTGACATACAAATACTGTACAAGAATGGGTCATTCCCATCTCAGGTGTCAGGACAAGTCACAGTGCGAGCAGTGCAAAAAGCTTTGTCCTCTTGAAGATCTTGTCACAGTGGATGATGAGATGTCCCCAAAGCGACATCTTTCAGCCAAGACCTTTGCTCTTAGCACCGACTGCAACCACATGGCAGACTTCCACTTCGGCCCCCAGCTTCTGTAGTTCGTCCAGCCAGATCATCTGCTTACATGAAAGGCGATCACTAGGGCCTTTAACTTCCACCAGCTGGAAAAGAAGTTTCCAGACTTATCAAGATTTTACTGAAATGGAGAGGGACCCAAGTGAGCCTCAGTCACATAAACTGCTGCCTATGAAGATGGGTCAGTCTACACCACTGAGCATATTTACAATAGACATGCAGCTGGGAAATCCCTTGAGAAAGTATTCTGTGGGAACTTGATGGGAGATGTCATTCTGTAAATAATGTTTCTCTTATTGGTTAATGACTAAAGCATTGTTGGCAAACAGGAAGTCAAGATAGGTGGGAGATTTAGTAGAGGAGAGTCAAGATGTAGGGATTTGAGAAGAAGGTCTGAGCCCCTCTCTCCGGTAAGATAAGACCACGTGGAAATGGTTTAATATTTAAGACAGAGCTAGCCAATAAGAAATGCTAGTAACAGGCCAACAGCTTTATATTTAATACAGTGTCTCTGAGTATTATTTGGGGCTGATGCGACTGTGGGACCAGGCTGGCAGGAAAACTACTCGCAATAGGAACTAGACATTTCTGGAGAATCGGCTCACAGAGTTAGTAGCGACAGAATTTAAAGTGTGCACCGGGTTGCTATTCCCTGTTTTTAACCCCTCAATCTGTTATGCTTGTATCTGAACCCAGATTTCACTTGTGATGTAGAGAAGTAGGATCTAGTCCCTGCCAGTCATCCCAAAGGCTTCATTCTCACCAGTCTCTCCCTACCCCAGGACCTCACATGATACTTGCTAGGGACACATCTCTGTTCATCACATGCATGGTTTCTTATGTCTCTAGGGTCTGCATAAGCTCATTTTACAGAGACCTACCTATCTCTGAGGAGGGTCTTCCTGGCTACTTCTCCGTGATATTTACTGTTAAGACCAAACTGTCCCCCTTTTCCATGTTTTTTAAAAGATAGCAGGAGGAGGTATTATCAGAGGGCAACTTGCAGGAGTCAGTCTGGGGTTTAACTCAGGTTGTCAGGCTACGTGGCAAGCACCTTTAGCTACCTTGCTGGCCCCTAAAGTGTTTATTATGTACCAGGTGGAGGAAGGTCAGTGCTGTTCATTGCTAAGTTAGGAGACAGCAATAGAAACAAGCCGGTGAAGTCAGGAAGTGTGTGCATGTGTGTGTGTTTCCCCAGGGGGTGGGGGTGTTGAAAACAGGGTCTCTCTATGAAGGACTAACTGCTCTGGGAGTCAATATGTAGATCAGGCTAGCCTTAAATCCAGAGAGTAGTCCATCTCCTCCTGAGTGCTGAGATGCAAGCAGGACAACCTGATTTTGATCCCTGGAGCTCATTAAGAAAGCATGGCATGGTGGTACACACTATCCTAGTGCTTGGAGTGGGTAGAGATACGGATCTCTAGGCTATGTGAACCAGCAATGCAACTGAAGAGCAGTGAGTACTCCAGGAAGGTTCAGAATATAGAATAACCCATCTTATTTTGGGTACTACAGGGAAGCAGCGGACTGATCCTGAAGGACCCCTGGAAGCAAGCCTCTTCTCCTAAGCCAGGCTTGCCAGCCAGACGCAGCTTACCTCCAACCTGGAAACTCACACAAATGAGAGTAAGAAGTGGACCTTGGCGAGGTGGAGGCCATTCTTTCAAGACCATGGTGCTAGATTCTGCTCTGATACCAGAAAAATAGCCAGTGAGGGCACCTTGTTGGTGTTCATGGAGATTGTGTACCTAAATCTACAAGGTTGGCAGAAGTGGGAATGGGCAAACATCTCAGGTCTAAAGGAATTGAGAAACCAGGTAACCTTTTATAGTCACAAACTAAGGGGGGAATCAGAAACTCAGGCTGAAAAATTAAATTCAGTCCTTTACTCAAAAGGCCTGGAGTTTCATACAAAATGATCAAAAATATTCTCATCAAGGACAACACAAATGGAACTCAATAGTCAGCTACTCCCCAGCAAAACAGTTATTTCAATCCACACCCCTAAGCAGATAGAAAAGTGTCTAGATAGATCACAAAATAAACATAAAATGTAAACACAGAGCTTCTAGAACAAAATACAAGAGAGGCTCTCCATGGTTTCAGAATATATAAGCAAATCTGATATCTGACACCAAAGGTATAGTCCATTAAAGAACACCTGAATTTGGTCCAAATTTAAAATTTCTGATCATCAAAAGACACTAAGGAAATAAAAAGACAAATCACAGACTAGGATGAAATATGAGTCAGAAAAAGGGGGAGAGAAGGGAGGAGAGAAGAGGGGGGAAGGAGGGGCAAGTACAGGAGAGATATGAGCACATGTACAGTGTGTCACAAAACCAACCAGCAAATGGTGACAGGGCAGGAACAGGCCCGGCCAGGGAATGTGGCTTGCTGTGGACTTCTGAGGTCCAGGGTCCACACTGTGTGAAGCCCTACCGCTAAGTGTCTTGTAGCTGCTGACTTGTTCTAGGAACAGGATGTAGGTACTGGTAGACTATCACCCCCATGGTGGGGCGGCATGGGACTGACTGCCTGTCTTGCTTGTACCTCAGCTCCTCAGAGAGGCCTTTGAGAAGCCTTGCCTTCAGCCAAGTGGCTATCAAGGAATGGAATTCCATCCTTCCAATAGCCATAAAGAAAAGCCGAGCACATGGACTCTGGCACAGCTGCTGATAAAATTACAAACGGCCTTCTCTACTGACCTTGCAGCGATGGTTCTCAGAATTCCACACCACCAAGTCAGGGAGGCCCCCTCGGCAGTGCCGAAAGTCAGCAACCAGACGCCTGCACACACCACTGAGGACAGGACCCCCAAGGCAGGAGACAAGATCCTAAATACAGAACAAAGGAGAGTTACCCACCTGCAGGGAAAACACCCTAAAATGGGCTTGAGTGACCATCAGAGTACACCAGTACAATTCAACAAATGCAGACAGGTTCCAGGAACACCACAAGTGGCTTTGCTGCTCAGACCAGGCTCCAGAGTCAGTAACAAAACCCCAGAGGTAAGCTCTGGCAACGAGTTCTCCATCAGCTACCAACCTCTGCCTGGTGTGAACATCCTGAGGCACATCTGATGAAGGAGAGTGTGATTTAGCACTCGGGAGTCATCAGTGCTTACAGAGGTCAGCAGCTTCAGGGCACAGAAGATTCACCACCACTACTACCACCCCCATCTCCCCCCACCCCCTCGCCTTCAGCCACAAGTCAGGCAAAAGGAAAGGAGAGGAAACTGTGAGAAAGGCATCAAGCTGGAAGTTTTTGAATGTCCCCATGTATCTATCACTGATGGCACTGATGGTGGCATCCAGGCTTGGGGGATGGAATATCGCCACACACCACACACATGCATGCACATGCTCAAACACATCTCTGTGCATTTTCATATAACTGCCAAAACAGTACTGTGAAGGAATGAATGACCAGACTGCAGGCAAAGTATTACCTGAGCTTGCTGAAGGGAAGTAAAGCGGTCCCAGCTGACCAGGGAAGCTACTCTGCCTTGCTGGGTCTGCCATGCCTCGGTCACCCAAGCCCGCAGGCTTGAAGCAGGGGCACTATGGATCAGCTGCAGCCTGGCTTCCAGGGCCTGCTCCCGGTTGGAGAAGAAGCTGTCTGTGCACAAATCCAGTGGGGACGCCTGTGCAGAAGAGAAAGGAAACTTGTCTAACATGCCTGGGGAGGGCACTCAAACTTCAGAAGCTAGCCAATTGGCTAGCACATTTTTCTCAGAAGAGATGAATAAAAATTATCAGATACAGTCGGGCATTGGTGGTGCACGCCTTTAAACCCAGTACTCGGGAGGCAGAGGCAGGCGGATCTCTGTGTCTTTGAGGCCAGCCTGGTCTACAGAGCAAGTTCCAGGACAGGCTCCAAAACAATAGAGAGAAACCCTGTCTCAAAAAAACAGAAAAAAAAAAAAAAAAAAAAAAAAAAAACCAATCAGATACATGCAGTTCTTATCTTGGGTTTTTAGTGGCATGAGCGGATTGCGTGTAAGAGGCCTTCGCTGGGTACTGCGTGGACAGGTGTTCAGCAGAGGGTGTGCGGTACTAAAAGTTCAAAATGTAATGTTGAAGGGAAGCTAGATTTGGGGTTAAAATCTAACAGTTCCCCTTTAAAAATGAAAGGTCTTTCCCCATGCAATTAGCACCACTGCAAAAAGATCCCAAAGGTAACCAAAAAGCCAGGTTGCTATAGGCTTCATAGCCTCTTGCAGAGGTGGGTATGAAGGACAGGAGGAGAGGTCCTACCGGATGGTGCTATTAGGTTACCTGGTAGGCATTTCTGAAGACATCTGGTATCCCATCCATGAAGATGATATCCCATAGCAGGAGGCCACACAGGGTGCTGAAGGTGGATCCTTCCCCATGAATCCCTACAACAATGTCACACAAGGACGAACAAGACTAGCTTCATCTACTTGTTCAAGAACAGCATGTGGCTAGGCATAGTGACACATGCCTTTAATTCCAGCACTTGGGAGGCAGAGGCAGGTGGATCTCTGTGAGCTCAAGGTCAGCCTGGTCTATATGCTAAGTTTCAATACAGCTAGGACTACACAGAGAAAACCTGTCTCAAAAAACAGAAACCAAAAAAATAAATAAATAAATAAAAGACTACCATCATGACCTAATGTAAACTCTATTTTGGGGAATTTATAATAATTGAATAATTAAAAATAATTGAAACAGGGTTGATTTGAAGGTCATGCTATTTTCATGCTATTTCTAATTCATTCATCACACTATATTCTTCGTATATAGCTTTATTTAAGGAGGAAACTTCAAATGAACACTGGAAATTCACAAAGCAGTAGTTCTCAATGTTATTGGTAGACAGCCTAAGAGGCAGGCTTGCTTTAACAAAGCAGGTTCCCTCCCTCAGCTAGAAGTTCTAAATGAGTGGGCAAACTAGGCTGGGTGCAAAATTCACAAGTTGACTCTGGCTCAGGCCTCTGGCAACCTACAAGAAGTGTTTTCCCAACAGGACTGACAATAGGAGGCCAGGCATTCAGAGCAGCTGGCAACCTCAGACTTACCCCCCCCCCCCCCCCCCCCCCCCCCCACCCTTTCCATCTACTCGGTTTACTCATTCATTAAGCAGCTTTGGCCTGATGAGTTTGGCTCAGGGTTCCTGATAGGCAAGGCTTCTACAGAAACTGCCAGCTGTAAAGACCTAGTTCCAATGCCCACCAAGTGCTGAACACTTGGATCACCAAGGGACCTCAGGGAACGGTTGTGTCCTACGGTTACTGCAAGTCAGCAGCAGGGTCTGGAAGCGACGCAGGTCTTGGCATAAGACTCCAGACCTGTCCCTCAGAACCCTGACTCATCCAGCATCTCTCCAAGCTTGGTGTCAGCACAGCTACACACCCAGCTATGTGGCCACTCCCCACTCTCCTATCATGATCACACGGCAGTAAAGCTCATGGAGAGCACAGGGGGAAAGCAGCATGGGTGAGGTGCTCAAGAGTCTAGCCTGCTGGCTTCCTGCTCACCAGGAGCACGGATGGAGGAGAGAGAGGGAGGTGGTGGTGGTAGCCAGTGGCTATGTTCCTCTACCCTGAGCTGCAGAGCTGTGCTATGCCTTTTTTTCCCCTCTCAGTTCTGGCTCCTGCCCCTCTGGCCCGTTTCCATGATGCAAAAGGACAGAGTGAACACGGTCAGCCTGGCTAAATCAAGTCCTCCAGCTACCAGGAGTGTTCACAGCAGGATACCCATCTCTGGCCTGCTAGAAAAAGAGCTGGGCCTAACTTCCAGGTTTCTGTCCCTGTGTGACTATCAGTTGGTCACTGACATGGAGGTCAGAGTTGTTCCCAACCTCTGCTATGCTCTGAATTCTCACTGCAGTCATTTTTGGTGTAATCCTCCTGCCTTATTCAGAAACAGCTTCCCCTGGAGGGTTTGAAATTGCCTCTTCACAAATCCCTCAAGAATGAAGCCCAGCAGCTAGTTGGCTCACAGTGGCTACATCAATTTTCTAATATATTTGAATATACATTTAAAACATTTTGTGTGGAAATATTTAATGTTCTGGAAAAAAGAATTGCCTGTTGCTTTTCAGGCTCCTGGCTAAATTGGAAGCATTTTTCTGTGTTCCTTTCATAACTGCCCTTCCTCTAGCCACTGACAGTTTACATGTCTGGGGCCTGACATTTCCATTCTGTTCTTTGATTTCTAAGGTTTTCAGGCTCACTGCACCTCCCCCCCCCCCCAGTCTTCACGGAGTCAGCACTTCTGCCCTAGAACACGACCCTTCCCTGCGAGCAGAAAAGATGTGAGGAGATTAATCTCAACATCTAACAGGGGGAAACCCTGTTCTGTAAAATCCTGCCTTCACAGCCCAACTAACCAAGACTCCACACAACACCACAGAGCTCATGGTACTGGAGTCGCTTCTCACTAGTAACCCTACAACATGGGAGTGGGGAGAGGTCTACCTGAACACAGGGACAGCACAGGTGTCCCCAGGAGAGAGCCATGAGAGCCACACAAGTACCATGAGTGGACATCTGGGATCTGCTGTGATCCGGGGTAGAGGAGGATGGTGGAAAAGCCTGATTGGGTATGTGTGGCCAGCACACACTCTTCTCCACCTTCACATAGCACTGGGATCAGTGTCATCCATGACAAAGTATTTCATAAAAAGAAAAAGAAAAAAAAAAAAAAAAAAAGGCCAGGCATAGAAGCACATGCCTTTCATCCCATCACTCAGGAGTCAGAGGCAAGTGGATCTCTGTGTGTTCGAGGTCAGTCTGATCTTCATAGTGAGTTCCAGACTAGCCACGGACACACAGGGAGACTCTGTCTCAAAAAAGAAAATGAAACACAGCAAATCCTGGGGGCTGTCCAGGCCAGCTGGTCTACCTTGCTCCTTGTCAGACACCAGGCAGGGAGCTTGAGCTGGCAGGAATTCATCCTCCAGGATCGACTAGAGTTTTCCTACCAATTAGATCTTACAAAATGGTCTGGGATGGACATTTAACTTTTTCAATTAGAAGATGAGTCTCAAGCCTCTACTTTTCTTTGGGCTATAGCGAAAGCATCACTTACAGTATACTCACTGAGCCCAATTGGGAAGGAAGACCAAAAGGGCAAGAGAAGCTGGTGGTCAGCAAGTACACAAACTCAAGGAATTGCCCACTGACATAAGGAATTAGCTGATTATAAAAAAAAAACAAAAAACAAAAAACAAAAATAAAACACCTTTTCACTACTGTAATGCAATAGGGCTACCACTCTGACAAGAGAAATGTCTGAGCAGCTGTCATTCTGACTGCACATTCATCTCTGTGACCAGTGGGTCCAACCACGACACATGTGGTCTCACTACCCACTGCTCTGAGGCACCATGGTAGTCAATGGATCCTACAAGAGCCTCCTATACACAGGCCAAGGAATTCTAAGAGGAGAGCTAACTAACCCCTCAACCACCTGACTGCCCATCACAGAAGGCCCTGGAGCATCCAAGTCAGGAACACTGCAGGGTGGAACCAGTATGTTTTACACTCATACATGTGTTTTTCTCAAACAAACATTCTCATCTCCCAAATATGGAACTTAGTCAAATGTATACATCCTCCACTCACCCTGCTAGGCATACAAACACATTCACCAGGGCTAAGTGTCACCTTTCAAAGGGCAGACCTACCCTTCGGGACGGCATGTGTCCCATGCTGAAGCACCCCAATGCCTTAAGGGCAGCATAGCAGGACAGGTGGAAGGGCAACCACAGGTCAGGTCACCTCACTCTCCAGCTAAGAGACTGTGAGAGGAAACGCAGCAACTGGACTTCAGGGTCCAGAGCGTTGTGGCAAGTGTGTAGCTTCTGCTGTGGCTAGTCACATATACCAAGTCTCTCAATTCTATGTTAGTCAACTTGCTACCATAGTTTCTCACTGAACACTCACATCCAATGAGCAGACTAGCAGGGCCCCTCAGATACTGTGTTCTGGGGAAGCCAGCAGAATTCCTTGTCTGCAAGCTGTAAGCATTTCAGAAGGTGGCCTCTGAATGAAACCTACAGAATCCCAAATAGCCAGAGGCAATCTTGACCCTGGTCCCTGGGTCAAGTTTAGAGACATAAGTATCCATCAGCAGCTCAAGGCAAAGTCTCACAGAAGCATAGGGGTGCCTGCCTTCTCCTGCACCAAACTTGCATACACATACCTCCACTACTGCAAGCACTCCTCCTACACATGCGTACATACAACTCCAACAAGCACACGCCCATAATTGCACACACTCTTCTCACAAGTGCACACGCACTGGCCCCTCCCACCAGGAAAAAGGAAATGGGAGCATCTGGAGGGCTGGAGGGCTACGGGCTAGGTGAGAAGCAATACCGTGTGTTCTCTCCCTGACTTCCCCTCGGTTAGTGGTGCCACAGATTCATTTAAAAGTCCCTCTGCTAAAGGCAGGGGACAGGCGAATGAGCAGCCACCAGTCACGGGAAGAGAAGATGGAAGAACTCCCAGTCTGACACAGGTCTTCCCTCGGGTCTGGTGTGGAGCTCATTTCAAAAGGAACTCAAAATAGCTGCTTTTCCCAGAGGCCTCTGAGGGTGTCTTTCAGGCTCCTCACACCAATGAACTCACTGTGTGCCTACTAATCTCCAAACATACTGCCCTGTGCCTCAAGGATGGCTTTGTCACCAGGCAGTCTCTTCCAGGACAATCTGTCCTTTCTCACCATCTCTACCAACCCCCAGCCTCTGGTGGCAAAGACCAGATCTTACTCCAACCACCCTACCACAGAGCACCATCCTCAGAGCCAGCAACACTGTCAAAACAGCAGAAGCCCTAACAAACAACAGAAACCTTTTTCACAAACCTCTAGCCAGATGTAGCATCTACTGAGGTCAGAGAGGAGAGGAGAGCAACCCACTACCGATGAGCCACCCTACAACACTCTTCTGCCATTTGCTGCATGGCTGGGCTGCAGGAAACCCTGCTCGGCTTACCCTGGTCAAAGCCACTCCGCCTGTAATAGTGCAGTGCCAGCTCCTCCACAGAGCATAGGACTGTGGTGGGGTTGGTGGTGTCTCCAGCCTCGATGACAAACACAGACTTGCCCATTCCATGCTGGGGGCACAACCTGCCCGTGATGGTCACCTAGAATGGTAGCAAGAAGTGTTACTCGAAGTCGGGCATGGTGATGCACACCTTTAGTCCCAGCACCCATGAAGCGGAAGCAGATGGGTTTCTGTGAGTTTGAGGTTAGCCTGGACTATATACAATGAGTTCCAGGCCAACCAGGGCTACATAGTGAAACTTTGTCCCCAAAACAAAACCAAATACACCTTGATTAGCCTTCTTCAATGGAAGCCCCTGAAAACCTGCCTGTGACATCCTGGGGATAAACGTGCCTGCTCCTGCAGAACTGAATGAATGGCATGTGACGCTCCCTGGCTCACTCACAAGGAGGTGACTGTCCCATCCTTTGACAAGCATCTAAGAGGCCCCCTGAGAAGCAGGCAAAAGTGGTAGGTACTTCTGTGGCCCAGCCCTGGTGTGGCCATATGGGGCACCTCAGGGGTATCAGAGAGGGCAGCAGTATAATGAACAGATACAATGGTGACACCAATGTCCCAGGTGAGCAATAGGCCATCCTGAGTCCAAGAGGAAGAACATACCAAAATGATTTCCAAGGGCCCTCCACTCAGAAGAGTCTTAAGTAAATATGTTTAAATGGAGGACATCCAAAGGAGAACTGGGAATGTGGTCTGAGTTTAACCAAAAATAAGCAAAATCCACCCAAAGGGCACCTACATGCTTAACATCTCCCATGGCGATTTCTGGCAGCTGGCTTAAGAGGTGCTTGTATTTTCTGCAGCTTGGGGACTCTTGCAGGCGCACAGCTCGCTGGTAGAGTGACAGTCGGTGTCCTGTCCGCACGTGGGGATCTGCCAGGCCTTCACTGATGCACCTAATTGCCTAGCAATTAACAGGTCACATGTCAGGCTCCCAGAAGTCAGTCCTAAAGACAGTAGCTGTCGATCTAGTGACAAGAGTCTTCACAGCTAATGCTGCCATTTAGCAAATGGGCAAACAGTGCTTGGAGAAATGTAAGCTGTCTCCTTAGGCCATTCTGATGGCTTTAACTTTAACCTTCACTGTAAAACATGCTGCCGTACAACAGACCTGCCGTCACTCACGTGACCAGAGTGAAACCACCCAGCAGGAGTGAAGACATCCCAGGAAGACACCTATGCCCTTCCCTCTCTCTAGCAGATTATGGAAACAGTAGGCTCCAAGAAATTGACATTTCCCTATGTGTCTTGCACTGAAAGAAAAGGCTGGGGCCCTGGGGCCAGCCAGAAAAGGGGCATGCCTCTTGGAACAAGAGTGTACACAGCTCTGACAACTTGTCAGGCCACCTAGCAGGAGAGACTGGAGTTGTGACAGGAAGGTCCACCCTGGGCAGGGCCACACCTGGTCCAGAACTGTGTGGCTCTACAGCCTCTTGTCCTCTATTTGTTTTCCTTTGTGTACACATTTAGTTTTATTGTAATAAAGCAATGTGCATACTTTAACCTTGAAAATTGAACATTAAACAAGCTTGTTTCATATTTAAATAAAAAATATCTTAAAATAAAAATAAAAAAAAGAAAATTGAGCATCACCTTTGTCCACCCAGTGGGGAAAAAATTTAAAATACACAGAATCACAGTGGTGGGCCGGTGGAGGGGACCTGGGGAGATGGCTCAAAAAGGCTACAAGCTGCTCCTCCAGAAGACCCTGTTTCAGTTGCCAGCATTTACAGTGGAGTACAACTGTCTGTAATTCCAGTTCCAGGGAGCCTGATGCCCTCTTCTGGTGTTCAGAGGCACTGCATACATGTAGTGCACAGAAAAAACACCCATACATGTATTAACTTTAAAATTATAATAGGGAAAGTCCACTTCAAATAGAATCACACAGGTTCTGTGAGTGGCAGGGTTCCAGTCATCACTGGAGAGAACTTCACTTTAAAGATGTCACTTCAGGAGGCTGGAGAATAGTGACAGAACACTTTAGGTTCCTGGCAGCCACATGATGGTTTACAGCCACGTTTAACCTGGGTTTGAGGGATCCAATGATCTGCATGGACATCATGCACTTACATGGTGCATGTATGTACATGCAGGAAAACACTCACACAAGAAATCTAAAAGAATTTAGATTCCTGTATTGTCCATTTAACATCACAATTATACAAACTATAAGAGAAGCATGTTGTCAAAATGCCCCCCTAAACCACCAACACCCCATCCCCCCCTTTGCTGACCTTTTATACATTTTAAAACATTTCCCTTTTTACTACCAGGAGAAAATAGACAGACACATGTTGGGAAAGAAAGGAGGGAGAGGCTAGAATTCCATGTAGGGCTACAAAAGGCCAAGCACCCTCCGGCCTCTGGCAAGGCAAAGGGAGAAGCAGGTCTTCCCCACAGGCCACAGTGGTGTGAACCCCACATAGTTTTCGTTGAGACCAGAAAGGATAAAGATAAATTTAGAACAGAAGAGTGAGGAGTCTGTATTTTGCTTAATTTGCTGTATTTTTTCCTTAAGAGTCACGGTGTTAAGAAAAGAAAGCCCCAAACAGGGCAACTGAGTGGAGTCAGGGACAGCTTTTACTCTTAGTGACTAGAGAGAGTAAAAAGAAAAAACAAATAAAACAAGGGCTAGACTCCATCAGTGTTAATAATCTTCTTCCTCCTGTCTCCTCCCCCTCCTAAATCATCATCTTCCCCTTCATCCCTATCTCTGACTACCTCTCCAAGACTCTGTGCCTGCAGAGAATGGTCAGTAAACCAGTCGAGGACCTCTGGTCCTTCACGCTGCCTCTCTGTGGGCCACACCCTGCACTTAAGGTGGGTGTTTTGTCAGATCCTCTTTGAGGGCCCACTTGATTTCTCAGGTCTCTGATGTCAGATCGCCACCCTCACTTGGATAAAGTTCTCTGGAGAGAACTTTCTCATCCAAATAAAACTTCTCGTGGGCAGATAGTGTCCCTCCTCACCTGCTGTGACAGTGCTGTCATTCTTCCCAAGCAGTGCAGATCTTCATGGACATTGACATGGTTGTTACCTAAAGGTCTGGGATTTGGAACATCAAGTCTAACCTCTTCTGAAAGAATGGTTGGCAAAGTTTATTTTATTCTATTTCTGTTTTCCTCTCAACTTATTAAGTCTATTTCATTTTGTACTTCAGTGTGTTCAAATGCTTCTTGCTGGCCCTTTCCTGAGGTCTTCATGGTCCCATCATGAGACTGAGCTCTTTCTACTGACTGGCCACCAGGGCCAACAAGGCACTCCTGGGCTGTGGGGCTGTGGGGCTGTGGGGCTGTGGGGCTGTGGGGCTGTGGGGCTGTGGGGCTGTGGGGCTGTGGGGCTGTGGGGCTGTGGGGCCTTGCTGCTTGCTGGAGTCAGCTGTCCTCTGTTAAACCCAAACCTCATGCCAGAACCCTGAAGATGGACTGTGAGTGTGTGTGTGTGTGTGTGTGTGTGTATTTGTCCTTTTCCAAGGTGGCTACACAGAGTACATTAGACAAAGAATGCTTTTTGCTATTACTTATCTCTGCAATTGACCTGCAAGGACAAAGCCTAGCTTATTAGTGCTGTCAGCACCCAGGCTCTGATCCTAACAAGCCCATTAATGAGAGGACCCCAGTAGCTATGTCCTCACAGAGACCATGATCTCAGAGACGCTCAAGTCACAGGCTAAAGGAGACTTAACTGCAAGCCTTAGCCCTGTAGTTCTCTGGACATCACCTGGGAAGCTGTGAGAGTTACACACACACACCTGACCTCAACAACAGAGCAGGGGACTCCAGAGCAAGTTAGACAGCAGTGACTCTCAGGTGCAGGCAGGACCGCAGAGTGGAGGGAGGTTCCCTGCTCATGGGGAGAGGAACCTACAAGTTCCTATTTTCTAAGGCTCTTCGCAGCTAAGCCAAAATATGAAAGCTCCAGAAAGACATTGTTCCTCATCTACTAAGATGAATATACTCAGAAAGGGGGTGGGGGTAGGAGGACAATGTTGGTAAGGATGTGGAAAACCAGAGCCCCTGTGTCTTACTGGTAGGAATGTAAAACCACAAGTTTGGTAGCTTTATAAAGAGCCAAACATGAAACTGTCACAGGAGCTAGCAAATCCTAAAGAGTTAAAGGTACATCCCTAAAGAATTAAAAATAGGCACTCAAGGAGTAGTGCAGACCCCATATCCATGGCATCAGTGTTCACAAAAGCCAAAGGGCAGAGGGCACTTGAGCACTCATTCACAGGTGACTGAACAAAAACACTTGGGTCTGCACATGCCACAGCATCATTCATCCATGTCAACAAGTGAAGTCACAATGTGCTGGAATAAAGATGGAACTTGGAAGCAAGCACCAAGTCAAATAAACCAGGACCCTGGGTTATGGGGGTGGCCAACCAGCTTGTTGGGAAAGGGTTAAAAGAGTCAGGCTGTGTTAGCATCCATCAGTATGAGGCAGAAGAGATGGTAAAGCAGCTGCTGCACAAGTGTAGGGACTTGAGTTTGCATCCTCAGCATCCATGGGAAGCAAGGCACTGTAGCAATCATTCTTTTGTAATCCTAGCAGTCCTCCACAAAGATGGGAGGGGAAACAGGGGAATCCCCAGAGGCCCTGTCTCAAACAAGGTGCAAGCCGAGGACCACTATCTGAGGTTGTCCCCTGACCTCCATATTCATGTTGTGGCACTCAAATACACAGGAGAGGACATACACGCGCACACACACACACACACAGTAAACTTAGAGAACAACTTAAAAAGACAACCTGAGGAAGGAATGACAGCTCAGGCCTAATTGGGTCTAAAGGAGTCAAGAGGAGTAAACAGATACTGCAGTGCTCTTGGTCCGAGCAGAGACACCAGGCAGGAAAAGAGGCCTGGCATGGGGAAGGATGGCCAGTGTGGGCCCATCTCTTCCCAGGGGCAATGGCTACCAGCAGCTTGTGTCCTGTAGACAGACATAACACATAGAAGACAGAAATATGGTGACAGGATACAAGGGCTGTGGGTACAGCACGGAGTTACCAGGAAAGGACTAAAGAGAACTCAGCATCCATGAAAATTAACTTTAGTGACCTGTCTGTTCCTATGACACAGACAGGCAAGTAGCATTCCGAGAACTGTGAACAAGAGGGTTGGAGGAATTGGCAACATCTTGGGCTGTAACTGAGATGAAAGGCAGAGGTAACACAGACACATATGCTCTCCCTTCCAAGTGGTTCTAGGCCTGCAACCACCCTACCCTGTTCTTTAAGCCTCAGCACCACACCCAGCTCCAGGACAGAAAACATCGTCTGTTGGCCTCTCATGGGCACCTGAGGTAATAAGGCACTGGTTTAGCAGAGAGTAGTAAAAACACTACATCATAGTCTCACATTCCGTGGGCAATGTTGTTTTCCACTCTTCTCTCCCTGATTCACTTAATGTACCACTGGGAAAACAAAACCTCCCTAAGACACAGTCCCCTCCATTCAGTTCAAACACAGGGCTAGAAATGGAGACGGTCAGGGAGGGAACCCGCAGGGCAGCCACACAAAGAGTCACTGTTACCCTCCTGGCTCAGAGGCAGTGCCCTCAAAGGGCCCACCCTGCCCAGCCACATCAGTGACAGAGCCAGTCTATTTTAAGTCCCCAAGATCCCTGGGGTCTGCCAGAGAAGGTGGCCTGTTCCAGAGGTGGGGACAAATGCCCTGCAGAAGCACAGAGAGATGTGATAAGAAACTGTCTCTCCTCAACCTTGTTTCTAGAAGCACTGAGTAACAAGTAAATAAAATCACCAGTTCCAGGAAGCCATAGACCCTGGGGTCAATCTGAGAGAGAGAAAGAGAGAGGGGAAGAGGGGGATAGGGACACACACAAACTCAGAGAGAGAGAGAAAATCAATATGAATCTGCAAGAGCTGAGACACGTCTGACCCTGCCTCTCCTTCACTGCATTTCCTGGGACCCACTGTCAATCCCCCTTCCCCTCCCAGTGAGAGCAGGTGGGCAGCTTTTATGAATGCCAGTGTTAGAATCATTTCTGCTATTTTGGGGTGGAGGATGGGCTTGAAAGAACTCCATCAAAGAATATTAACAAAAGGAAAAATATTTTCTAATTATATTTAGAATTTGTTTTCATTTATTAAGTTTTATTGTATTGTCACATTTGCTGAATTAGTGGTTTCTAACATTCTGATAAAAATTAAATATTTAAATTTTTTTATCTAGAGAACTTATGTATTTCCATGTATATCAATATATTAATAAAAAGCATACTTTTTTACTGTTTTCACAGAACCATAGACTGAGAGGAAAAGGAAATGGGGAAGTGCTGCAATTATGTTTTAATTATAATAAAGATAAATGTCTAGACACAGTGGTGCATGCCTTTAATAAATAGCAGCACTTGGCAAGCAGATACAGGTGGATCTGTGTGCTCGAAGACAACCTGGTCTATATGGGGAATTCCATGATGGCCAAAGCTGCATAGTGAGACTCTGCCCCCACCAGGAAATAAATAAACAAGTTAACTAAAGAAAAGTGCTTTCCTAGGCTGTGGCAGCTCAGTGGCAGGGTGCTTATAGAACTGAGGCCCTCAGTTCTATCCCCAATGCCATTAAAAAAAAAAAAAAAAAAAGCCTTGGTATGCCCCTGCTTACTGCTTCCAGACGCTTCAGGTGCTGGTGGAGGGTTAAGAGCTAGGCGATCCCACCAGCGGCCTCTGCTGTCAGGACAGTAGATTTTCTGAGAGAGGAGGCTTTCAAGTTCCTCCACTGCTTCCTATGGCAGCAATAAAAACAAAACAAAACAATGAGACAATTGTAAATGCTAGAAGCATCGGCTGTAATTATAATCGGAAGTCAACAGGGCTGGTACTGTTCCTAATGAAGGCCAAAAACCAGGGCTGACAGGCAGGAGTGTGAGATGTTCTCCTACATGACCACTTAGCTGGCTGAGCATCTGTACTTGACCCCAGGTCCTGCCTGGTGGTGCTGATCCCTCAGAGGTCTGGGAGCAGACACAAGTCTTCACCAAGCTCCCTCTGTCAGTTCAAGGCCACTGAAGACCCTGGCAGTAAGCACTGGCTATTGCTGGCAAACGCTGACACTCTGGCAACCCAGCAAGCCCTAGACCCACTGAAGTTTGAGGCACACTGTCAGGCACACAGGAAGGGAAAGAAGTCTGCAGTTGGCATTGTTTGGGGAGGGGGAGGGAACACCAACCAGCTCCCAAATAATGACACGGAGATATTATTAATTATGGATGTGTGGCCTTATCTTAGGCTTGTCCCACTAGCTTTTTTTTTTTTTTTTTTTTTTGGCTTAATTTAACCTGATTCTATTTATCTACATTTTGCCTCAGGGCTTTTTACCTTTCTTTCATTTTGATGTTCTACATTCCTGCTTCCTCCTTGTCTGGGTAACTGGTTGGCCCTTGACATCTCTCTGTCATTTCCTTTTCTTTTTCTTTTGAGCCTAAATTCCTCCTCCTACTTCTCTCTCTGCCCAAAAGTTCTGCCTTTACTTCCTCCCTTGCTACTGGCCATGCAGCTTCTTATTAGACCATCCAGGTGCCTTAGGCAGGCAAGAGAAAACAGAAACACATCTTCACACAATTAAACAAATGCAACACATTTTTACATAGTTACATAAATGCAACACATCTTTGTATAGTTAAATAAATGTAACACATCTTTGCATAGTTCAATAAATGCAACACATCTTTGCATAAATAAATATTCTGCAACAGAGACCCTTTTCCTTCTGTTTCTGACTGTGAGTCAGAAACTCCAACACAACTGATAAAGCAATAATTGCCCACAGAGACTGTGCCTGACGCCCCCACCCCAGAGGATGTAAAAACAATGAAATCACATCCTCCTTCAACCTAAATCCCAACAACTCTGTAAACAAAGCCACCTTACACTTTCAAAAGGGAATGTTTTAAGGTAAGCCAACCAGCTTGTATCATTTTACTTAATTTTCAACTTTGCTGTACCTTTAAATCCTGTAAACTATAATGCATTTTTTAAGAACTGAGCTTAAAAGCTTCAGAATGACAGATGTGACATCAAGTCCACAGAGATTCCTGGGGATTCAAGAGACCCAAGGTGAAGATGCAGTCTTTTCCTCTTTGTAAAATATCATTTGTCTATATAGAAATGACACAATAAAAGGGAACTCTGGCAATTTCTTAATCTTAATCTAAGGATGTGACCCAATTGTTATTTGTGACTATAAACTATCTCCAGATGATACATGGCTGATGATAAGGGGTGTGAGCTTCTTTGGGGGGGAGCTTTTTACCTGCAAAATCTAAGGGACCTACAGAGCCTTACATCATGCTCTGAGGCTAACTGGGCTCCTCCCAAGCTCTGTCCATGACCAAAGCTTCCCAGTGTGCACATTCAAGTCACAAGCAAACAAAATGGCTACTGGCACTGGCTGTCTTCTCTCTACCAATCTAGGGCAGCAGGGTGACTATATGAAAGTAAATAACCTTTCATCAGGTTCCTTGTGCTGATGTAAGAGTGGGAAAAGAGCCCAAAGGCTTTCACTTCCATGAGTATCACAGTCCCACCAGTGAAGGTGGAGGAGGGACATGGGAGATGTCATTTGTAAATATGTTTCTTGTATTGGCTAATGAATAAAACACTCCTGGCCAATAGGAAAGCAAGATAAGTGGGACTAGGAGACTAGGAGGAGGGAGGAAGGCGTAGGGAGGAATTCAAGATGCAGGACTGGAAGAGCAGAGTGCCGGTCCCTCTCTCCTGTAAGATCAAACCACGTGGAAATGGTTAGATTAATAGAAATGGGTTAACATTTAAAACAGAGCTAACCAATAAGAAATGCTAGTAACAGGCTAACAGCTTTATATCTAATACAATGTTTCTGTGTATTATTTGAGGCTGGTGCAGCTGGGACCAGGCCAGCAGGAAAATCTACTCATAACAAATGGTGTTGCAATGTGGCTAATAAGAACTTCCACTTAAAATTTAACAAAAGCTTAAGAAAGGGTTCTAGGAACAAAAGAACAGAGACAAGCAAGGCTTCTTGGTAACAGCATTTTTCTAGGTTGGACTCTGTTAGAGACAACCAGAAATTTGTGCGGCTCTGGCTCCTTTAAGGGAGATTTCCTGACTCACCATAAGCAGCAAAAAACTGCAAGGCTTTTAAAGGTCTCTGTTGTTAAACTTAATGGTGTGTACGAGAGCTGGCAATGGCAGATGGCAGCATAAACCAAGGCAGTGAGCACAGCTCTCAGTTCTGGCAGTAAAGGTACCCGCCGCCATCTTGGATAGACCATGGCTGAAACAACTGTGGCTTTCATTTTAGCAATGTTGTTGTTTACCAGATAAAAGACTCGTGGCCAGAAAAAGATAAAGATTTATAGTAAAGACAGATTCAGATTAAGAAAAACCACTAAAGATTTACAGTGTGTTTTAAAATTATAGTAGGCTTGGGAGAGAAAAAGAAACAGGATACAATGGTTTAAAAAAGAATAATAAAAAGAAAGAGTAGCTGGGTGTGGTGTCACACACCTTTAACTCCAGCACTCAGGAGACAGAGGCAAACAGATTTCTGTGATTTCAAAGTAACCTGGTATACAGAGTTAATTCCAGGACAGATAAAAGTTACACAGAGAAACCCTATCTCAAAAAATGAAAAAATAAAAATGGAAGAAATAGAGTAATAAAAAGCCACGTGAAGATGGAAAGCACACAAAGAGTCTGGATACTGTGTACTATGGTGTTGTCTTTAAATTGCTCAATTACTAAGTAAGAAATAATTGCTACAGTACACTTGATTATCAATGCTGCTAAATTAATCCAATTTATATATTTTAAAAATGCTGACTTCAAATTTAGGTCTAAGGACAGGTTACTGGGGGAAAGGGATTTCTATTTTTGTTTCCACAGAAAATGAAAAGCTGTGGATTCCTTCCAGACTAACATGGTTAGATCAAGCCAGACCTCCTGAAGCAGTGTCCCTGGGACAAGGCAGCCTTGCAGACCACTACAGCCGATTTTTGCATCTTCTTAGGATCCCCATGACAGAGCCCCCTACCAGCAGGAAGCAGTTTGGAAAGAACGACGCCCAAATTCCCAAATATTGTTTATAAATATTTGTTTTCATTTAAATGGGGTTGGTTATAAATGGTTAATGATCACAACCAATATCTTTTTAAAGGTAAAAAGGGGATTATGGTATAGATATGAATACTTTGTTTTGGAATGGATTTTCATTTATTGATACAATTTAAGGTCAATTTTGCGATATGTATATTTCTTCTCATGTTTAGGCATTGTGTTTATATAGCACATTTAAATATAATGTATAACAGTACAGATTATAGATATTTACCTATGATAGTCAAAACTTAGAGGTAAGTTACTTAGGTTTTCAAGATGTATTTGAGATGGATAGGCATTCTTCAAACCTTTCAAAGACCTACAGAATATGGCATTTAAAATGGTTTAGGGTTTTTCTTGACACTGCTCCTGGCAACACCACCTGCATCAGAAAGAAAGATGGACATAAAGAAACTCATTATGGAGTTTACTTTCAATATGGCAAGACTAGCCATTTAGGTAAGGTACTGATCTTGTCTGGATTGTTTGACTTTATGCTGTATAAACTGGACATGCAGGACCCACAGGAAAGTGACTGCTGATACAAGATGGACATTTGCTACAAGGTTCCTGCTTCATGGAAGAATCTGCCAGACAGTCTGACACAGAGAAAAATTACTGACAAACTGCCAATACAGATGGACAGTTTAAAGTTTCCTGCTTTGCTGAAAGAGTCTGCCAGACACACTATGGCCTAAAGGCTGAAGATGGAATATTACACAAGAACCTCAGGTGACTGATCATGTAGCAAGCTGTCTCTGTCATTTCTAGAGTTTATATATTATCCTTCTGAGGTCTTTGAAGGAGTTGAAGACAGATAATTATGGTTATAGTTTTCCTTAGTTAGGATTAAAGAGAAGTTAAATATATAACTTTGGACTCACAAAGATAGGATAGATGATGGAATATTTTCTTTAAATCTTGCTAAATGTTAATGGACTAAATATTGATTATTGTGATTCTTATTTGATAACTGCTTTGTTATATATATATTTTGCTTTATTAAGGTTAAACCCTTCTTTTTATTTTAGACAGAAGAGATGATGGGAAATGTCATTCTGTAAATATGTTTCTTGTATTAGTTAATGAATAAAGCACTGTTGGCCAATAGGAAAGCAAGATAGGCAGGACTAGGAGACAAGGAGGAGAGAGGAAGTAGTAGGGAGGAGATTCAACATGGAGGACAAAGAGAGTAGAATGCTGGACCCTCTCTCTGGTAAGATGAGACCACGTGGAAATATTTAGGTTAATAGAAATGGGTTAATATTTAAGCAGATAAGAAACTAGTAACTGGCAAACAGCATAACAACTAATATAATGTCTCTGTGTGTTATTTGGGGCTGGTGCAGCTCTGGGACCAGGCCAGCAGGAAAAACTACTCATAATAGGAAGGCACTCTAACCTCATACATGCGAAGTCTCTCCAGCACTTCAACAGCCCGAGAGAAAATCCTTGTGTAAATCCAGCCAACAGTAAAACAGCGCAGAAAGAGTGGCAAGGCCTCATGGTATCTGAAACAACAATGAATGCCTGAGGTTTAACAACTGGCTTATAAGAAAATTGTAAGAAGTGACAGAATATTGAGCTTCAATCTTTTCTTTCTTTCTTCCTTTTTTGGGGGGTGGGGGTTGTTTTTTAATTTTCAAGACAGGGTTTCTCTTTGTAGTTTTGTAGATCAGGCTGGCCTCAAACTCACAGAGATCAGCCTGCCTCTGTCTCCCAAGTGCTGGGATTAAAGGCGTGTGGCACCACTGGCCAGCTGAACTTCAATCTTTAAAATGATATATTCCAATACTCTGAGTTGCATGTACAATTTTCTGCATCACAAACTTATATCATCACTGCCAAGGCCCTGCCCCAGGACACTCAGTGGGGTGAGATAAGAATGCCTAATAAGATTTTAACTGAGGTCAGCATTTAAACCTCACCTACAAACCCAGACAAGCCTTCAAACTTCCTAAGATTGGCAACAAAGGGTGGGTGTAACCTTCTTTAAACTTTAAAAATACATTCTACTACTTTCTGTAAATACTGCCACAACTATCTGAAGTTAAGTTCATTTTGTAACTGACATATAAACACAAAAACTGTGTAACTAATGGAGTGTGGCATGATATTTCAATATGTACCAACTCTGTAATCTAATTGAACCATTTACGTCTTTAAATATTACTCTTCCAATTGTGTTTTTATTTTGGACAGTGTCTCAGGTTCACTGCTGTTGTGACGAAATATCATGACTGAAAGCAACTTGGTGATGACAGGGTTTATTTGGTTTATGTTTCCTCATCACTGTTCATCACTGAAGGAAGTCAGGACAATAACTCAGACAGGGCAGGGACCTGATGTAGAGGCCATAGAGGAGTGCTTCTTACTGGCTTGCTCTTGAAGACTCACTCAGGCCTCTTTCTTATAGAACTCAGGACCCCCAGCCCAGGGATAACATGACCTGAAATGGGCTCCTCCATCAATCACTAATTAAGAAAATGCCTTAAGGGCCTGCCCACAGCCCAATCTTATAGAGGCATTTGGATCCCTCTTCGAAGATGACTATAGCTTGTGTCAAGTTGACACAAAACTAGCCAGTGCAGGGAGGTGTATATGTCTGTGTTAAAGTATATAAAGGTAACTATGCACAAGGAGGCCAAAAGTTGACACTGGGTGTCTTCCTCAATCCTCCACTTTTTTGTTTTGTTTTGTTCTTAATGCCTTCCTGAGCACTGATCTCAAGCCATGGGTTCCACCCTAACACTGGAAAACAAACAAACAAAAACCCACCCAGCACTCACCTCAAGGAAGGGTGATTCTTCAGTTGGTCCCAGTTCCCTTTTGCACTCTGAAAGAGTTCCTTAGCTTCTTCCCAGTTCCCCACCAGACATGGCAGCTGAAATGTCACTCAGCAAGTGTGTGGCCGCTGCATATCTAGGGAAGATGCCATGGGGGTCTTAAGTCAAGGAGTCCTTCCATGACAATTCCCACATCATGGCCAGTGGCTTATGTTTATGAGAGTGTGAGGGATGTACAGGACAGACATGGTGGTGCCTGCTTTCAATCCCAGCACTGGGAAGCAGAGGGTGGATCTTTAAGTTCCAGGTCTGCAAAGTGAGTTCCAGGCTACCTAAGGCAACCCAATGCATTTCCCCTTCTAAAACAAACAAAACAAAACAAAAAACCACAAAAAAAGTAAGATATATTTAAGTTGGACCAAGTGTGATGGCTTAATATAGCTCTCTCCCATTTCTCAGAATGGCTCTGATGGTTTCAGGCTGCCCTAGTAAGAAGACAGACTCATATACACTGTAAGAACCCAAAGCTGGCCCCATTATATAAACTCCAAAGTAATTGTGAACGCTTGGAGGAGACAGTGATGATGAAGCTTTATGAACTATTTCAGTGGAAGAAATATGACTTTTCATTACTTCCTTAGCTATGAAAATCAATGACATGTGACCAACAGGCTCTGAAATACAATGATAGCATAGTCATTGTACTTTGGGGGGAAGAGAAGCTTGCAATACAGTTAACATTAACAGAGGTCAAGTTTGCTCACAAACCCAAAGTCCTCAACCCGTGGTCATGATCATCAGAAACACATTTATGTTTTATAATTTGTGTTTTCCAATGGTTTTAAAAACTGAGACACCACTCTGTAAAATGACTTATGAAGTGGCAATGAAAATAAATTTATGGTTGGGGATTCCTAAGGCCATTGGAAATACGTGTTTTCTGATGGTCATGACCCAGAGGTTGAGAACCACTGCCACAGACACAATTATTTATGATATGCTACTGAACAATCCAAGGTCAATAAGGAAACAGAAAAACATGGTCACTGACAGAGCACTCTTCTGCCACACACAAAGTCCTAGGTTCAATCCCCAGCACTACATAAACCAGTTGTGTTGGCACACATCAAAATGGGGGATTTAGAACTTCAGGGTCATACTCGGGTTCGCAGCAATGGCAGCCTAGGCTGCACAAGACCCTTCTCAAAAGAAAGGAAAACGTATGGAAGTTAGGGCAGGCAGGTGGTACACCCTCCCTGCCTCAAGTCATCACCAGGATGGGCAGCATTACACTCAGCATCACAGCTGATCTAACTTCCACCTGAACCAAGCCCACTACACTTTACCCCATCTCCCTCAGCTGCCACCTGGCTAGTCTTTGTCACCACTGGGACTCATCTGTCCCAAAGCCACAGCCTTGCTTTCCAAACCTTTCTCAATGGCACATAGACATGCTGATGTCAAACAGTATTCTCCTCCCCATGCCCAGCCTCCTCCCTGCACCCACTCTCTCCCCACCTTCTCCCCATTCCCAGCCTCTACCCATTTCCTCACCTCCCTTCACCCACCAACATGCCCATGGCCACTCAGAGCCATCTATCACCAATGAACTATGTTAGCTTCAAAATTTTGACCTCAAATATTTCTTCCATTGGCTGTCAGCCAAAGCATCCCAGCTAATTTAATTTACTACAAGCAACGAACCCTCTGGCTCACAGCACCCAGGCTGCCCATGGCGGCTATAACATGTTGAACACAAGCAATCTGTGTCTTCATGAACTGCATATTCATCAGGAACCAGTCAGTCCAGCTCTCTTGGCAGCTCATCTGGGCCATACAATACTGGTGTGCACACTGGTCTCTCCTCTTTGTCTGTGCCCAGAGCCTTGACTTCTGCAGAAGGAAATCATAGGATGGGGGCTAACTGGTCCTACTCAACTCAAAACCACAGTTTTGAGTGGATACTAAGTCTTATCTTTGCTCCCTAGAGGCCAGTCTGACAACACTGCAACAAAACTGTGAAACTGCCTTGCCCTCACATTCCCTTGCAGCATGTCAAGGGTGACACAGGACAGCATCTATTGAGCGGCTAGTGGTACCCCACATCCTGCCCCCTGGCCTTGACTGCTGTCCCATGTTCCTCTTCTAATCATCATCTCATGATGACACCATCACCCCAGACAGAAGGCCAGAGCCAGTCAGCCCCATCCACTCATATCTACCTCCTTACATCCAATAACGATCAAGTCATTTCTGCTTCCAAACTATTTTTGATAGACTCAACTGTGTCCACATGTCACCACCATCCTTCACTCTGACTACCAAAGTCAAACTAGCCTTCTTCAGCTCTCCTGCTCCCCTCTGACTTCTGCTCCATAAGACTGCTCTGGTGAAAAACATGGAATACCCCCTTCAGCAGCTTCCCAATACCGGGAAGACCCCATCTCACCGTGGTCAAGCATCCTCTGGTCCCTGCAGCTTGTCCTTATACTGCTGCTCCCCAGAGCCAGAAGCCAACTATTCCATGCCTCTGTGTTTCTGCAACTCAGCCAACTATTCCATGCCTCAGGTTGCCTTCTTGGTGAATGCAAGCACACCTGGTCCAGGCATGGCTGCCTTCCCACTCTCATGGCTTGTTTCTGATGTCAACTCTCCAGGGCCAATCTAACACTACTTACAAAGTAGAACTTCTGCAGCCTACCTCTCAATGGTCAGATCATTTTTTAAAAAAGATTTATTACTTTTATGTGTATGTGTGTTTTGCCTACATGTATGTCTACCTGGTGCCCACAGAAGCCAGGAGAGGGTGACAGATGAGACCCCCACCCCTGGAGCTGGTGTGACAGATGGTTGTGAGCAGTCATGTGAATGCTAGGAAGCAAGCTAAGTCCTCTGCAAGAGAAGCAAGGGACCTTACCTCCTGAGCTGGCTCTACAGCCCTGTCACATCATTTTATATACTGTAATTTTCCTGCTTATTACTTCCCCAGTGAATGGTACCCATAAAGGCAGCAACCTTACCTCCTGATACTCACTACCTAGGGCATAGGAGGCTCATTGCACTCAATAAGCTTCACTGAATAACTGACCACTTACCTCAAGTGCAAAAGTGGGCAAAGGCTGTCAGGTCAGCTATCATGTTACAGGGTTTTATAATATGGCACTTTCAGAGGTCAACTAAACCCAATTTAATTAATAACCAATGGAATTTTAATTACTTCATTACAGCATAGGTACTTTCCAGTAAAAAAAAAAAAAAAAAAAAAGACAGGAGACACCTGCAAACAGGGTAAGTCCTTAGGACAGAAGATCTGGCTAGAGACTCACTCCAACTGAACACAAGCAAGACATTAGAAGCAAAAGGCACTAATATTGGCTTCCATCAACACTGATATGATTCAATTGTTCCAATGACTTCACTTCAGAACACGAGTGTTCTGAACAATACTTAACTCTCCCTAAAGCAAAGGTCTGAATCAGTATTGGTTAAATTTGAGTTACAACTCTTAAATCAATAACCAATAATCAAAAGTTACAAAACTAATTTTTCTTATAAAAGCTGCTTTTTCTTTTCCTTCTTTCTTTCCTTTTTTGTTTTTTTTTTTTGTTTGTTTGTTTTGTTTTGTTTTTTAAGGAAATACAACAGCACAATTGTATACAATACACATAACCAATATTCAGGTGAGTCAAGAGCATAGGGCAAGGGGACTGTGATTACCAGGCCAGGCTAGGCTACTAGGCAAGAAAAAATCCTATCTAAAAACAAACAAAAAGGCAATAAAATAAAATATTTCTTTCCTTAAGACCTATACGATTTTTTCAATCAAAGCCCACTGCTAATCAAGCCAAGATTCATAAAATCCACCAGGTGCTGTGTAAACCCCAAATTCTACCTCACCACATACATGACCCTCACCCACAGGCACAGGTTCTCCTGGGTCTGCCCTGAATGCTGTGACTGGGAAAACACATTCTGCCTCATTCATCCCAACACATCCACAAGGCAGGGTGGCCAAAATGCTGTGTCACAAAAGTGTTTCCTGCCACAGCTACTCGGGAACAGAACCCAGTGGAAACTTTTGAGCTATAACTCGACTTGGCAGCCTTAGTCTAAGTGCATGTCTGCATTCTTCCTGTAGTTGCAGAGAACACATGAGGATGATAAAATCCAAAAGTTTAAAATGACTGCGCATGCACTCCATATTTCTACATTAGCTAGCGAGAAAAAATAGCAAGACCTCTGATTAAATTTTAAAAATGCACACAGATATCATAATGACTTAGTGCGTCCTCACCTGATAAGGTCCTCTCTATCCCTGAAGATCTGGGTTTTCCGACTGACAGCATATTGAGGAAATTCCATTCGGCCCAGATTGACCAATAGCACAGTAGAAAGCTGACCTTGACCCCCACAAGCAGCTTCTTCATCTTCCATGGAGTCAGTCAATGAAAACAGCAGCAAGATCCGGGAAAACACAGCCCTAGGGCCTTTACAGACCCGCAGTGACCGTCCAGCTAAGCCTTTAGCTCTAAGATACAACAATACAACAGTACAAAATCACCTCTCTGGCTTGTAAGCATTTGGGCATAGATTTTACAAACTATTTTCAGCTAAAACAAAGAGAACTGGTAGCCACTGTTCTAAACATGCAATACCCTCTGCTGTGTGACAATTGAGTGTTACTTAGCCTTTCTGGAGCTCAGAGCTCTGCTTAGGACATAGAGGAAAACAGTTGAATGTTTATCTCCAAACTGTTTTGTTACATGTGGTTTTTACTCAGTAATGGTGCTTCCTTCCCCAGAATAGACTATGTTTCTCTCTCTCTCCGCTTTGTTTGTTTGTTTGTTTTCCCCTGAGATAGAGTCTCTCTGTGAGACCCTGGCTGTTTCAGAACTTGCTCTGCCGACCAGACTGGCCTCGAACTCATCACAGATTCACCTGCTTCTGCCCCTGAGTGGTGGGAGTAAAGGTGAATGCCTCTACCACCTGGCTCTAGTGATTATTCATCTGAAGATCACCTGAAGCCTGGGAGCCCTGACACAGGTCTCAGCACCACAAACAGCAGCAGATCCCTTTTGTTGTGTGCTCACTCATCCTCTCATGCTTTCTACTGATTTTTAAAATGATGACACCCATTTCTTCTCTATTTGTGTGTGGGCACATATGTGCCATATATGTGTAGAGGTCAGAGAACAGTTGACAAAGTCAGCTTTCCTTCTATCATGTGGGTCCTGGGAATAAAGGTTAGGCTCTTGGCGGCAAGCGCTTTTAACTGCTGAGCCACTTCACCAGCCCCTATAATAAGCTTTTGAAAAATTAAAGGTAATTTGCTCCCCAAAAAGAGAGGGGGGGGCAGGGAAGGATGGAAGGGCAGAGGGACAGAGGGAAGGGGGGACAGAGGGAGGGAGGGAGGAAGGTAGAGTGAGAGGAAAGGAGGGAGGGAGGGAGGAAGGAAGGAAGGAAGGTGAGATGAAGTATTTAACCATCACTAACAGAAGCTCTTGGCAGCAGCAGCTAAGATGAAGTGCTACAGGCACACTCAAGGTATGGTGCTATTCCTGTTTGCAAAGCCATCTGGAAACACTCCAGGACACCTGCAGTGCATCTGGAGGTCTGAACTAAATTTAGGGCCACAGCACAGGGCTCCTTGGCCTCAACTCCTTGTTTGGGGTTGGAGGCTCTCCTGTGCATTTTGTAACACTGGCTTTCATTCACAAGACGCCATTAACACTGCCACTCCCCCAGTAGTGACCACCAGAAACTGTCATTAGCCAGATGCTCCTGAGGGGCAAAGTCACCCCCAGTTGAGCCCTAGCGAAGACTTCACACCTTCTCACCTAAAGTTTCTCAACAGAATGCAGCCCTTGATATCTAGGAGCACTGATATCCATCAGTGCCACTATGAGAGTCCCAAGGTACAAGAGCAGGCTCCAGGACGGCAGCAGCTGATTGAAAACTGCTCCACAGAGGCTGCCCAAAGCACCCACTCCTAAGTTGGGGTGCAGCTCTGGGCTGCAGGAAACTATGCAGGGTCTCTTAGATTAAGAAGGCATAAATTTCTGTGTCCTCAGTGGGGACCCATAGCCTGCCACCAGCCACAGGTAGAATGGTGGCAGATAATCTTCAAGGCTTTCAGTAAAAGTTAAATATCCCAGAAAGCGTTACCATTGTGCAACTTCAAATCCAATGTTGAAAATTGTTCACTTTCTTTCTCTTATTACACCTGGTAAGAATATAAATTCTGGTAATGAAAGCCAGTCATTTTAATGCACATCTACTTTATAAAACATGACATACAATATTTCTTTTAGTTTAAAAATAAAAGCAGACAAAAACAGTATTTTGAAAACGAATAACATACAAATGGGAGTCCTTTATGCAGAGACACATAAGTAATATACAAAATAAGCTTTGGAATAATTTGTCTTAGGCTAAAGAAGATATACTCTGATCTTATAGATTTCATGGTAAAAGAACTCCACAGGTTTTCATGACCTTCCCTAAATTAGCAGCTCAAACATTTCCTAAAGATTAGAGAAACCACCTAGAGCACTGGGTAAAACTTAAGGAAAAAAAAAAAGATGCATATAATCCTGGCTCATAGCACTCCAACAAAAAGCTTCGTAAATTTAAAATGTGACTGACAGCTGCCCTAAAGGCTATAAGACCAGCAGTCACAGCTATTTTTAGTTGTCTTAAATAATAAATTATGAATATGCACCAAAGATCTATGCCTTTGCTTTATTGTCTACTGGCTTTTCTTGCTTCTAGAAATTAGTAACCTTACAACAAAAATTTTGGATAAAGCACTGAGACAGCATAGTAAAGGGCTTCAGTTGTCGACTGCAATGCAACTGGCATGAGCAGCCACAGTCTGAAGTGGTATGCACACAGCATCTTCACTGATACAATGGCCACAGACCTTTTTAAAATCACTTCTCTGATTCCAGACTGAGGCTTGCTCCAGGTGCAGACTGAGCGCTGTCTGGCCAGTTTGAGAAGAGCATCTACCAGCTGCTGCTTCTGCCCAGCAGAACTCACCAAGTGGAAGGTTTTGGCCAGGGCTTTCAGCTCAGGAGCAGAAAGGAGTTCAAGTGCATCAGGGAGTTCTTGCAACTCAGACTCTGAAACAGTTAACAACAACCAGAAGTTAAAAGAGGTTTATGGAATTTACTATTGTCTAACATTATTTACTTGGGGAAGGAAGAGAATTAGCTAGATGAAAATAAAGTGAATTTTCTCTATAGAAACTGTAGTAACCAGCACTCAGAAGGTAGAGGCAGGCTGAGCTCTGTAAGTTTGAGGTCAGCCTGGTCTACAGAGCTAGTTCCAGGACAGGCTCCTCCTGTCTAGAAAAACAAAACAAAACAAAACAAAAAAAAAGAAAGAAAGAAAGAAAGAAAGAAAGAAAGAAAGAAAGAAGCTATAGTAAGTTTTCCAAAACAAGCACAAGTTTGCCAGGAGTTCACCAAAACCTTTCCATTGAAGAGAAGACTACAGACAACAACCAGATGGTGGTGGTGGTGCACAATTTTAATCTGGGAGGCAGAGGCAGGCAGATTAGGCCCTGCAACTAGAACCAAAGAAATGCACCCTGACCCTGAAACCAGTGCCAAAGAAACACAATTTGTCCCTGGAATCAGAGCCAAAAGGCTAAAAATGACCAGTGAAAGAAAAAGTTTGGCCCTGAAACCAAAACCAAATCTGACCCTAAGCCTGTGCAGAAAACCAACCAATCCCTAAGCAGGAGAACTAGTCTGAGCAGGGATTGAAATCTGACCAATCCCCACCCTGGAAATCTCCCTGGAAAAACTCTGCCCCTAAGAAGACCTATATAAGCCTCGTGTTTGTTCAGCTTGTGGCTGTTCGGCCGCCTGGCTCTCCTCTCTTGAATGAGGTTTGGGTGAGACCTTCTTTCCCCAGAGCAGAGATGACCCTGGGTAGAGCAGAGTGGAGCAGAGCTGTAACAATTTTTGCCAAGGAAACCTTCCCCTAGTGAGGCAAAGTTGTTACACTCTGCTCTTGGGTAGACAGGACTGGAAATGTAACAACTTCACTAGGGAAACACTCTCCTGTCAGAGCAGAGCTGGTACCCTGGGGAAGCCTTTCCTTGAAGCAAGGCTGTAAGCTGCTATGCTTACTGTGACCTGTGGTATTCCTTGGCTCCCGATTGCCACAACACTTTTCCATCCAAGCTGTAACACTTAGTATTCTGTGCCTCCTGAGTGCCAGAATGCTTGCCATCTGAGCTGTAACACTCAGTGTTCTTTGGCTCATGAGTGCCAGAATCCATCCCCATCCCATTTGAGCCCTTGAAATGCTTACACACAAAGTGACCAATCAGCTCTCCTCTACTTAGCCCTCTATTCCATGATGCAGAGTGGAAAGCTTTACATGGGCTCAGTCCTTTAGCATCCTGCTATGGTGAACTCGATCGACATCAAGCTGAATACACTGGGCTGAGTCAGACCCAGCCATGTGTCTTTAAGACATTCAGTTCCGGGCAGTGTCTTCTTCCTCCATTTGTATGTATTTACTAGGTGTACGGTTCTACAGCCCTGGGGACACTGCAGTGAGCAAAGTCCTTAACTACAATAATTACTCATGCCAGGCAGGAAAGGTTGGAATAAAGAAAAACTGCTAGGTGCTGGACAGATAGCTTAGCAGTTAAGAGTAGTTGCTGCTCTCCCAGAAGACTTGGAATCGGTTCCCAGGAGAATGGCCATCTAATTCAGCTGCAGGTGACATATCCCTCTGGCTTGGGCACCTGTACTCTCAAGCACACACCCACACACACATCTATCAGAAATAAAAATAAGCCTTTTTTTTTTTTTTTTATGAAAAACAAAATTAAATGAGGCCAACAAAGCTTGGCAGGGTGGGTGGCTGCTTTACACAGGATAGTCAGTGGAGAATCTAATGTAATGAGGGATAGGTTTGTACAGTAAGGCAGTGAGTACTGTTCTATGTAGAAAAGACATTAAATTCAAGGTTATGAAATGAGAATGCATTCACCATGACAAAGACTACCAAGTGTGGCTGCAAGATGCAGAGAAACAACCATGAAGTGTCCATGGCCAGCCATCCAGGCGCTAGTTTTGGTAAGTTATATAAGTCCCCAGTGGCATGCCCTCAGTCAAACGTGTCAATCTATAGAATTTTCATTAGCTCTTCCAAGTCAGGAGGAGGCAAGAATCAGCTTCAACCAAGGAATGGAAAGCATGGCTGACCCTTCAAGCCAAGCGGCTACTTTGTAACTCCACCCCTTCCCCCAGCCTGTTCCACTTCTATCCTATCCAGCCACACCCTGGCAATCACCCAACACCATCTTTACCTACTGTTCCCACTACAAACTCTTTCCCCCAAAGCCATCTACTGTGATTGTTTATTTTGTCAAAAGTGTCCACAACTTGAACTTGGCTGCACACCCCTCAGTGTCCCTATGAATCTTTCCATCCAGTACTGTACAGGACAACCCAGGGTACCCTTAAGAGAAGACAGATTCTCTAGTGTTCACACAGCTCTAATTAAACTCAAATTCTCTAGGCAATCAACATACAGGGGTGCGATATGTGGACATGGTGGGGTAGATATTTTTAGAGGAATACTTATTTCATCCCAGCTGGCTTGGTTTTGTCAGAGATGAGAAACTTGAGCAAGGTGAGTCAATATCTTGTCAGAAGACAAGAGCTCAAGAGAAATGTCCTCTTCTATGGTTCATCCCATCTCCAGGAGACTACATTTGCACCAGGAAAACAATGGCAGTTGGCCTATCACTGTTCTAGTAGCCTTCACTCAACCCGACAGTCTTAAGTCACACGACAACATGTTGCCCTAAACTAACAGCTTCTAGATATTTTTCCTAAAGCAATCACTATTTAACAAACACTAACAGGGAGATGGCACCACACGAACATACTCATAGAAATCCCATTGACAGCAATTCTGAAGTTCCATTTTCCTCTTAGCTCCTCCCTCTAACCATACCTGTCTGGAGAAAGCCCGAGTCCTCTAATTCTTCAACCACAGGGGTTAAGTCTGAGGCAATCTCTTCATATTCCAGTTTACTCATCTTAATCCAAGTTAATTTACGTTGAAAGAGCCTTACATACAACTTCTGACCACTAGCTGCAATAAAGTTCAAAAAAACAGCAAAAAACATTAACTTTCTTCTCAAAATCATTTACAGACTCCATTTAGTTTTAGACATGAGGCAAATATATATTATTAGAAATATACACATTTTTACTTTATGTGTGATAATGGCATTTCATGGTATAAACCATTAAAAATCTAACATGTCAATGAATACTGGCCATATTAAAACTTCTAAAATCAAATCCCCCTACTTTTTTAGGGGGGGGGGTTTAGACAGGGTTTCTCTGTGTAGCTTTGGAGGCTGTCCTGGAACTTGTTCTTGTAGACTAGGCTGGTCTCAAACTCAGAGATCTGCCTGCCTTTGCCTCCCAAGTGCTGGGATTAAAGGTATATGCCACCACAGCCAGGCTACTCCTCAGAGAAGCCCTTCCCAGAATTACAGTCATTTTGTTCTCTGCTTTTAGTTTAACACATGTGCCTGCTGAAGTCATTTTGGAAGAGAGAACTTCAATTGAGAGAATGCCCCCACCATACTGGCCAGTAGGCAAGCCTGTGCTGCATTTCCTGAACTGATGGTTGATGACTAACATGGAAAGGCCCAGCTCTGTGGGCAGTGCTTTTAAGAAAGCAGGCTGAACAAGTCATAAGAACAAGACACTAAGCAGCACTCCTTCATGGCCTCTGCATCAGCTCCTGCCTCCAGGTTCCTATCCCATTTGTATTACTGCCCTTGAGAGGACCAAGCAGATGCCCTAACAGGATGCACAGTCTTCTCTCATAGATCAGGGTTCAATTTCAGTTTTCTGAGGGTGCCATGGACAATGTACAATCAATCTCCAACACCCACGACAGCAAGGACAGGGAAGTCTGTTACATGCAGTACCAGGTCTGAATCACCATCAACAGATAACAAGGACAAAGCCTGGGACTTGTCCAGGCCTGTCCAGAAATGTAACTATAGTCTTGACCTGCCCCTAACTAGCCCTAGCCAATTAGGACACACAAATAAGACTGTCATTTGCTTAAGCCAATTGTAGATAAAATGACCTAACTGCCTTAGGAACTCCCCTTGGCTATGCTTCAAAGGAGTCTGCCTGCTCCTCTTGTGGCCACTGGCATCGTGCCTGTGTGGAAGGGATGGCCTGAGCATGCTGGAAAAACGTTCTTGCTTGTGGGACTTCTCCAGGACCTTAGCACTATGACCTCCCTCACTGATGGACTGTGATGTGGAAGTGTAAGCTGAAATAAACCTTTTTTTTCCCCAAGTTCCTTTGCTCATGGTATTTTATCATAGCAACAGAAACTGAAAGGATGAAAATACAGCCTAACTCTCTTAATGACCGATAAAAGTTAGGAATTAAGAAAAAGTCAATCAGCATGTATTTAAAAATCACCTTAGCTACATGCAAAGCTTAAGAAAAAGAAAAAACACATGAAATAGCTTGGTCACGATGACTGGTTTCTGGAAATTATTATTATTCATAGTCACCTAGTTTCTGAAGACTGTTGTTATCCACAACAACAGTCTGGGAACTGTTATGGGTCATCCTGTCCACAAAGAAAATTAATAACTAAAAGATGGGACTCATAGCAAGAAGGGAGAAACAGAGAAAACAAGAGCTTCTGCCAATGATATAGGTAACTCCCTGACTGGAAAGTACATTCTCCCAGCCACTCAAGGACAAGGTTCTTGAGAAAGGAAAAAACCCCTAACCTTGCAGGTGTGCTAAATCTCTGTAACCTAGGAAATCTTACTAACCATCCAAGTTTTGAACTATCCCATGGCCTTGCTTTTAGGCCTAATGAAAATATGAAAATAACAGGCTAGCTTTGAAACTGGCCTTGTTAGCTTTGATGTAAATCCTATAAAAGCTATCTCAATTCTGCACTAGAGGTCCTCAGTCCTCTACTCCTGTGTATGACTGTGGACCCCAGTGCACTTGAAATAAAAATTCCTCATGCTATTTGCATCGAGACTGCTTCTCGTTGAGTGATCTGGGGTGTTGCATTTTCTGAGTTGGAGCGTGAAGAACCATGCTCTGTAGGTCTTTCAAAACCTTAACTAAGACAATATACATTATTCAACTTTTGATTAAAAGAAATCTGAGTTTCCTCCCCCAAAATACCTTGTTTTGATCTATGCAAACCTACTTAATTAACCTATTTAATACCTCCTCAATACCTAGATACCTCTAAATTTCTGCTAACTACAAAGGGATATAATTACATTTCTTGAAATTTCAACATTTCTTTCCTTTACAGAAGCAGAAGCAATTAGCAGCAGCAATTTTCACCTAAGATATATTGTACATGGCCAGGCATGATGTCAGATACCTGTGATCCCAGCACTCCAGAGGTGGAAGCATGAAGATCAAAGTCATCTTCAACTACAGAGATTGCCCAGAGCTACACAAGAACCTCCCTCAGAAAGACATTTTAATGGATAAATCAACAGCAAAAAACAAAAACATGTTGTATATGATTCTTCATAGAGAGCAACACAGAAGAATCTGTTCCTATTTCTTTTGTTTGTTTGGTTTGGTTTGGTTTTTTTGAGATGGGGTTTCTCTGTGTAGCCCTGGCTGTCCTGGAGCAGAGATCCTCCTGCCTCTGCATCCCAAGTGCTGGGATTAAAGTCATACATCCCTACTGCCCGGCTCAAACTGTTCCTACTTGTAGGTTTTGGAAAAGCAGCGTCACCAACTACAGTCGGAATCCAACCAGAGAATTTCTACCACTCTGGAAAAGGAGTGTCTGTTAGTCATCACATCCATCTTCTGGTGAGAAGCACACAAACAGTCAGAAGCCACAGACATATTTAACTGTGCACACAGAGCTATTTGCATATTCAAAAATAACGCCACCATGTCACCTGGTGGATTTTCTTAAATTTTCAATGTCTCCACAGGGCCACACTTCATTAGAAGTCAGCATGGACACCAAAGCAGCTCTTCTTACCTAAACTCTGGAGCCTCCATGGCTTGGGACTAACAGTGACAGCCACACAAGGGTGGAGCTACCGCTGGCTGCCAAGGATTTAAGCAACAAACTGATCTTTTTTATTTACCAATTTAAGCTTGCATTTTCCCATTTCTTCCACACCCCAACTTTACTTACCACTGTAACAACTTCTCTGGGGAAACCCTCCACCAGTGTAGCCCCTTACAACCACCCCCACCTGAGGATTTTATTGTCCTTGAAGACACTGGATGCTAAACAGAAACCATTGTCAATGGGAAAGTTGGTCATGGAACAAAAACATTGTTATACTTCTGTGTACTGGTTCTGTAGCTTTCTTTTGTTTGTTTTTAAATCTGGACACTGGTCATCTCTTGACCACCACCAAAAAAGATATAAGAAATAAGATAGCATGAGCCATACAGACCTTTAACCCCAGCACTTAGGAGCCAGAGGCAGGCAGATCTGAGTTCAAGGCCAGACTGATCTACAATGCAAATTCCAGGACAACCAGGGTTACACAGAGAAACCCTGTCTCAAAAAAACCAAGGGGAGAAGAAAGCTACTGCCGTTGTAATTGAAGTACTGCTTGCACAGGAGACATCACCAGGCACAACAACTTGTTTTGATTGGGCCCATCCTTGACACAGACCTTGCAAGAGGCCCCACAATGCCCCACAGGGACTCCTTGTGGTCATTACACTACTGCCCCTTACATCACACACAAATGAGATAAAGAAGACCTGGAAAGCAAACAGGCTGAAGATACCTGACAGCTGGTAAAATTTAGTTATAATCCCCTTCTCCTGGTCATCGAAGAGCTTCATGTCCTCTTCATTCTCAAGGATGGCATGGAGCACCAGCAAGAAGCTCCTTAGGTAGTATGGGTGGCTCAATGGGGGCTGAGCTGCCTCCCTGGGAACATCACAACTGGATCCCTGCTCCAGAAGGCTGCAAGCAATTTGTCTCTTTAAGGCACTCCCACCTTCCCCAAGCTCTTGGCTGTTGTTCCCTGTAGGGGTATCTTTGGGACTGGTGGATTCTACCTCCTCCCCAGACATTGGCATTAGACCCTCAGTATCAACAGTCTGTTGAGCAGCCCCCCCACCCAGCCCTCTGGCATCTTCTTGCTTTAAAAGACTGTCTTCCAGAGCAGACTTTATGTTATTTGAAAGAGTTAAACCTAATGAAAACAATGTGGCAGCATGATCTGAAGATGCCCGGGTGAGGGCTGACTCCCTACAGGAAGCTTCTTGGCTTTCATCTTCTGCTATTTGACTGCTCTTTACCTTGGGTTCAGAAGCATCCTCTTCCTTTAGAGATGCACAAGAAAAAATATTTTCCTTTTGAGAACAGTTCAAAATCTCATCTTTGTCCTCCATGTCTGAACAGTTATCAACCAGGTTGGTGCCAGCTGTGGACGGAGAACTCCATGGACAATGACTGGCTAGTCCCTCCTTCTTATCCAGTAATTTTTTAACTTTTATGTATTTTCTTGACAGTTTAGACGACAGACTTCCCAGAGACATAATTTCCACACTCTGATTTTGAAGCTCATTTTGATTTTTGCACACCGAAGCACCTTTAAAATAGGGACTGGTCTGCTGCTGTGTGCCCAGTTTTGAACATTGCACAGGGATTAAAGTTATCTTTGGTGGTGACAACTTCTGAGGTGCTATGTCTTCTAAAGCAATACTGGGTAAGTCTGACCTTGGCACAGTCGGGTTCCTTAAGCCAGCCTGCACTGGCTCAGCCTCAGCAATGTCACCATTGTTAGTACAGGACTCATCAAGATGCCGAATTAGGGTCGTACCTAGGGACCATTTTATGACAAATTGAACATGCAAGTTTAGCAGGTGGTGCACTGTTAAAATAAGAAATAATCGAATGAGATCGGCTTTTTGTAGTTTTGCTGGCTGATAAGCTTCTACGGGGTCTTTTTTGGTCAGGTGATTTCCCTTGTGACATCACAACTACCAGAAAGAGTGAACGACCCAAGAAGAAAATTCGGGTAATCTCAGGTGAAGGACCGAAATGTTTTACTTTTACTCCCTTGGCTTGAATTAATAAAATGTGCTGGCTACCACCTCATCAGATAAAACAGTGGCATCCCGGGTTTATTTTTACTCTCCTCTTGAACTAATGCAGAGTGAAATAGAATTTGGTGTCGGTATTCGTTCAGTTTCTCCTCCCTACAAAATAAACGAATGAGTTAAAAATATGTTTACGCATTAACAGGTTCGGGGGACAACTGAAACGTGGAATGGCAACTTCTGGAATGAGAACCCTCAGCTTGACACAGATCGGGGCTGTCCTGCAGTTCCGCGCAGGCTGTGTCCCTTGCCTTACAAGGACCGAGCTTCACTTACTTCCAGGCCCTTTCTAGAACCATTCTTCTTAAAAGAGGACGCTGACTCTCTCAGAATCTTGAAGTCACTGCAGTGGAACCCGGCACAGCTGCGCACAAGGCGGCACAGAAGCGGCAGGCCGCCCCAGCGTCACGCTGCAGGCAATCCCAGCCGATCTCCGCGACTGCACTCCAAGGCTCGACAAGTGGAGGCCAGAGCGATCGAGCTGAGGGACAAGGAACAGCGAATGCTCCCCTACGGTTTGCTAGATGAAATATAATGTGTGTGTACGTATGAATATGGCTATAGGGGTGTGTGTGTGTGTGTGTGTGTGTGTGTGTGTGTGTGTGTGTGTGTGTGTGTGTGTGTGTGTGTGTGTGTGTGTGTGTGTATGTGTGTGTGTGTGTCCAGAGCAATCAAGCTGAGGGACAGCGAATGCTCCCTAGCAAGGCTAGATGAAATATGATATACCTATGTATGTGTACATATGTGGCTATAGGTTTTGTGTGTCTGTGTGTGTGTGTGTTCATAAACTAAGGTAGCACAACACTAATTAACCCTTTGTGGGTGATAAACTGGGGGGGCTATTGTAATTCCTTTTTGTTTTGTTTTTTGTTTGTTTGTTTTGGTTTTGGGTTTTTTTTTTTTTTTTTTTTTTTTTTTTTTGGTTTTTTTTTTTGGCAAGACAGGGTTTCTCTTTTTTTTTTTTTTTTTTTTGGCAAGACAGGGTTTCTCTTTGTAGCACTGGAACTCACTCTGTAGACCAGGCTGGACTTGAACTCAGATATCTCCTGACTCTGCTTCCCAAGTGCTGGGATTAAAGGTGTTTGCCACCATGCCTAACATTCCTAACACAGCTGAAAATTAATTCAAGGAGATATAGATAAAAATATGTTAACCATAATAAACATATTAAAATTAATTTGACTTAATGGGGAAAAAGGGAACAGAGAAAGTCAGAAAAAAAGAGAAAATAAATAACAAAACCAAATAATGACATTAAATGGTCATTGATTCATATAATCAAAAAGTAGTATTAATCACATTTGACTTAAAATGTAGTTACTATGTGTCACATACAAGAGCCTGGTGTAGCAATTTGAATTTTGAAAAATCATGTGAATTTTAAATCCACAAAAATACAAACCCCTAGGATTGCATAATATTCAAATCACTACTAAAAGTCACACCTTAAGGTATAGAGAGACCAGAGGATTACTCAAAAGCATTTATTCACAGGAAAAGGATATACCAATAAATCTATTTTGAATAAAACTTCGGGAAAAGTTGCTGGGTGTGGTGGTACTCAGCTTTAAGCCAGCAATTGGGAGGCAGAGGGAGCTAGAGCTGAGTTGGAGGCCAGCCTGGTCTCCATAGGCTTCCTGGAGCTGCAGTTTGGCCCTGTCTCAAAAACAAACACAAACTTGGGGAAAACTTTTAATGTCATATTTGTGATGTTATACTCAAAAAATGTCCCCCAAACTCATGTGTTAAAACTATTTGGCCAACAGGGAAATGCCTCAGCAGGTAAGACCTGGTAACCTGAATTAGAACCCCAGAATCCATATGGTAGGAAAGAATGAACCTGAAAGCTGTCCTTTTACCTCCAGACCTGTGTGACATCCTGAGGACAGAGCCCTAAGAGAGTGGATACAAGTAGCACCATTGTAGAAAGAATTTGGGCATAGGGACTATGCTCAGAGGTTAACAACATGCTGCTCTGGCAGAAGACCTGGGTTCAGTTCGAAGCAACTATATTGGGTGTCTCACAACTATCTGCAGCTCCTGTCCCAGGGAGCCAATGTGCATGTGTACATACAGGCACTCACACGTCAAGGCTTGGGGGAGGAGCCCTGCCCTTCTACCTAACCACCAAAGGACAAAGGAACAGAATTCCATTTTGATGCCAATGTCTCCCTCACCAGACATCACTTTGTCTGAACTGTTATGAACTAAATTATTTGTAAAGCACCCAAATTTAGTTCATTTTAGCTGCACATGCACACTCAGAGACCTACCCAACCTAGTTCTGTCCAATTACAGCCATGTTCAGCATTAATAAAGGACTCTAAACAGATCTTCACCATTGGGTTTGTTCTCTGTAGATGAAAAAGAACCTTTCTGGTCATTCTTAATCTTAAGTCTCATTCTCCATCCACCTGGATTAAGGCTGGTGAATCATGACATTATCAGTGAAAGGCATTTTTCTGAGTGGGGAGGTCTCAGCAATAGACACCTGGTGACCCCAGGGGACTCTGAAGATAGCCAGTCTGTATTCCAAGCTGTACTGAACCTGTTGCTTCTGGCTTCCCTGCTAGATCATATACCTGCCCTCTATATATCTTACTATGTTAGCCTGTGCTAACCCTTTGTCCAGGTATTAAGATTTTCCAAAGGGGAAAGGTAAACTACATACATGAAAGCGCTGTTTTGTGAAATAACAGACACAATAGTGGGAGAAGAAAATCAAGACCTCAAAGGACTATGTAGACAGCTGGTTGTGCAGAATGTGATTGGCTCTGGGTGCTTCTCATAACAGAGGACATGGTACATCAGTGCGATCAGCTGGTTAGCACTAATGCAGGCAGGGGACTGGGAAGCTCATACCTCTTTCACACCCAGAGAAATCTAGACAGGCTTTCTATTTGGTTTTTGTTGTTGGGGGGGGCGGGGTGTGGTCTAACCTGGCCTCCAAATCACTTTTTAGCTAAGGAAAACCTTGAATTTCTGATCCTCCAGCCCCCCCATCTCCTGAGTGTCAAGTCTCATGTAGTTCCCATCAAGCAGAGGCAGGTCTCTGCTGGCTACTTAAGTATTTATTTTTGTCGACTTAACACAAGCCAAGGTCATCTGGGGTAAAACAAAATGAAACAGGACTGGCCTGTAGGGAAGTCTGTGGGGGCACTTCCTGGATTAGTGATTGATGAAGGACCCAGCCAAGTACAGATGGTGCAACCCCTGAGTAAGTGGTTCTGGATTGTGTAAGAAAGCAAGCTGAAGAAGGCACAGAGAACAAGGCAGTACATAATGTTTCTCCATGGTCTTTGCTCCGCTTCCTGTCTTCAAGTTCTTGTCCTGTGTTCCTTCAGTGACAGTGACAGTGTAAGTCCTTTCCTTCACAAGTTGCTTTGGTCATGGGCTTTATCAAAACAACGGAAGCAAACTAAGATCGGTCTCAAAAATTTTAATATAAAACAGAATGACAGAAATTACAGATTTATACATAAAATTCAAGTATATTACAGCTTTAATTTGTGAACAGAAATGTCCTGTTTTTTTCTTCTTTATCTTTCCTGGTTGTTTTGCATCATTAATCTGCATTTTTACTTGATCTTGCAATTTAGAAAAGAATGCCTGAGATGACTTTAAGGGCTTGTCTTTTCGTTCATCCTGCAGTTAAAACAAAACATAGAGATGTTACAAAACATGCTTATGTAAGAAAACCCAAAGCAGAACTGTCACTATGATCACAAGAATAAATAAATGCACAAACATGAAAAGCCACTACAAAAACTCAAGTCAGTAACCTTAATAAATACATGCCATTATTACAACACCTTTGTACATTAGGAAGAAGAGAGGAGAAAAGAACTTGCTGCCAGGCCTGTCACTGTAAACGACTACAGAAAGCCTGAAGGATGCCGAGGCCACCGCTGAGCAGTGTGCTCCAGAACCCAGAGGCAGCTCTGACAAATGAGTTGAGAAGGAGCCCACTGCATGCCATGAAGTCCCCTAACAGGCGCCTCTCCCTACTCACCTTTAACAAGGACACTTTGCCTGTTTTGGTCAACTGTTTGAGCTTCTCTGTAGCTGCTGCTCTGCTGGACTTCCCAGGCTGATCCGGGTTCTTCTTTTCAAGCAATTTTCTCCGCTTCTCCTTCTCCTTTATTTTCAAATGTTTCTGATACTTCTTTTTCCTCCGTTCACGTTTCTTGTCTGTAGCTGTTTTCTCAGCAGCTGTTTTTACATCTCCAGCTTTATTTTTCTCCTATTTAAAAAAAAAAAAAAAAAAAAACAAAAAAAAAAAAAAAAAAAAAAAAACAAAAACAAAAAAAAACCCAACTCACCAAATGAATAAAAACACTAAACAACCATCATTCTGGTTATCCCATCTGCCGATGAATGGATGAGAAAATAAGTATGCACACAATGGCCAATGGTTGGATGTCTGTGGCACAGTGTGTGAGGATTCAGAGCAAGACCTTTTTGGTTCCAAGGAACTCTGCTAACTCTAAAGCCTATACTTTGCCAGAACTAACTCAGAGTAAGAGTTCAGCCCCAAATGAATTCGCAAAGGAAACACAGAGATAGGTCCTCAAGCAGGCAGTCCCAATAAACACAGGTCACAGGACATGTCTGGTTCAGCCTTGGCTCTAAGCTGTGAATGGCAGCCTCTGGGTTTTGATGAGGGAGTCCTAGAGATCAATGAAGTGAGGAAGCAGGGAACCCTGTCTGCAGTGAAGACTGATATCCTCATTTCTCCTGTGCTGTCAGCTCATCATACCAGGTTATCACAGGCACAAGATTGCAAAGCCTCTGACAGAAGTGCTGACTGTACATGTAACAAAACAGGTGAGACAGAAAAAGAAATCCAGATGCTACTCCAACAGAGAAGACATGGGCCTGACAGAAGACACTGTTTCTGTAAGGCAAGAATTTCCATGTTCAGGGGTCAGAGGATGTCAGCACCTAGTACATCCAAGGTGTTCCAGGGTCCAAACGGTCTATTGGATTCTAGACTGCAATGCTAGTAAGCATTATTCTGCTCTTTATGATTACTATGAACAAAATCAGCATGGAGGTGGGCAAATACTAAAATATACTGGATTTTCACAAGACTGAAACAGGCACTTTAAAACATTTACAATAATCCTCATATCTGCAACTTACACTGATGCCTAAATACACAAGATTAGTTTCTAAGTATTGTGTAAGTAATTACTCATCTCACTATGTAAGCACCCATATTCACAAGAGGATTAATTCCACCCCCAAGTTCTCATACGCTCAAATCTTACATATGAAATGAACTATTTATATT